GGGTGAGGTGTTAAGATCTGAGCTGATAACTAAAACTTTGTAGGTTTGAACACAGAATATTCACAAATTAATGTAGCTTGAACCACCCAAAACTGAGACGCCATTGGTGTTTTTTTTTTTTTGGTACATATTTTAGCCTTGGGTGTGTCATATGTTTTATGAAATAAAAATTAAAGTAAAAATCTCCTGCTTTAACACCATTCTTGTACGCATCTGTCATTTAAACAACACTTGAGCTAACACTGCAACTAAGTAATACAAGTTACCCCTAGCTGGCTCACCCTCCTCTTCAAAGTGGGTGGTTTTAATTTAATGGAAGGCTATTCTACCTTTGTGAAGTGAATAATTATAACCAACTTCTTATACTAAACCTTGAAGCCTATCCATATAATGTTTTTTTAAACCATGCTTAACCCTTTTGCGTTAATAATAGGCCAGCTCATTTCGTTATTGATAATATTATTATTCCCGAAACGCTGCATCATCGCGTGGGTGGGACCAGTCAATCAACCGGCTCGTCGTTCTCATTGGTTCATTCAGGTGGCTGTGTGGGCTGCGTGAATAAAAGTATGGAGACTGAGTCCAAGTAAGAGCAAACCGTAGATGGATAAAGAGTGACTCTATCAAAGGACACGAGAACAAAGAAGTTTCAGCCAGCTTCGCCAAGTGATCGCCTTGACGCTTGGAGAACAAGAAGCTCTGTAGGTACTCAAGGTAACAGAGGAGATTTTGTACACTGTAGACAAAAGGTTTTGGATATTAAACTGGTAAGACAAAGACATAGGCTACATAGAAAAACAAAGATCTCAAACATTATAAATTAATTGTTGAAAAACCTACGAGCAGAGAAGATTATATGAGGAAGATTAAGTGCACTTAAAGCCTGTTTTCTTCTCTCATACCGCAGGAATCGCTGTAGACGATGGAGTGGTATGTTTTGGTGTTGATGCTGAGCTTGCCAACCTTGAGTCAGGCAGATTGTTCAGCGCAATGTCTGAGATGCGCGCAACAGATCTCCGACCTGGACTCTGCAGTAACCCGCTTGGTAAGATTACTCCTTATTTTCAAACAGTTTTTTTTTTTTTTTGCATGCGCTTAATTTGGCCATAAATGTGATGAATGAGAAGGAGATGAAAATGGCACAACCGACAGAAATAAATGAAACTTTATCGTTATTGGCTTTGCACTTTGTACCATGCACAATGGCATAAAGTTAGCATCTAATCAGAAGCAATTAGTATCCTATACAGCATTAATTAAACTGAACAAATTAAGCATGAATGGTAGCGTAATGTAAATTGACTTGTAAAAGACAATGACTTCAAACTCAATACAAATATAGCCATTATAAATGAAAAATAGAAAGGTCTCTCTGTAAACTTGAGAAATGGTCGCATCCTTTGTCATTAACAAATAAACTGGGCGCATTCAGCACCATGGAGAGCGCTCGTTTAGATGATCATATTGGAGAAACCTATACTGAAAAAAAATTAAATACATATTAGACATGTCTTTCCGCTGTAAACTTACAAATCGCGGATTCGGCATTAAACGTTTCGATTAAAAAAAACAAACAAACATAAGATTTAGATGTTTTTAAAGATAAAATGCTACTTGTAGAACTTGAAAACCCCCGAATTGGTTCTAATCTCAAACTTTAAAAAAAAAAAAAAAGAAAGAAAAAGATAAACGGTTCTTCAAACAACCATCTTCTAATCAATAACTATTTTGGCTGTATGGAGTTCTCGAGTTACTATGATTCTTTTGAGATTAAAAAGCACCATGTCTTCAAATTTAGGCTCTGCAGAACGTGGTTACCAAGTTCTCTACATCAGTGAATCTCAACCTTTTGGCGTACCGGACCCCAGTCCAATTCAGAACCATCCTCAAGGACCCCCAGAACAAAATTGACTCGTATCGTTTGTGTCTTTGTGAGGACCAAATGCAGTCAAGTGTAATTCAAGTTAGCTGACTTGTCCAGTATTTGGCCATATCTTCAGCTATATTGGATTTTTCTTTCATGGGAACATGTCAAAATATACAAAATGTATACAAAAATTCATACTTTATATGGCCTTACGTCAAGGACCACTAGGGGTCCATGGACCCCTGGTTGAGAAACACTGCTCCACATGATGCTTTTACTAGAAATAAAACGTTCTTTGAGGAACGTCCGCGGTATCAGAATATAACATCCTGAAACTTTTATTTCCAAGAGTGCACAGAGTCAATCTTACCCTACTTTTCTTTCTGCAGACTTGCACTTTAGAATGTGAAGGAGCCGTTCCGTCTACTAGTACATTAGACAGATGTGAGAAAGCTTTCCAGGAGCTTTCAGATGAATTCGCGGAGCTCAACCCCGACGCAGAACGCAGCGCGTTACACGCGGAGGATCTCCAAGAGAAGGCGTCCAACCTGGTCAAACGATACGGGGGCTTCATCAAGAGGATCGACAAGAATAAAAAGAAGGGTTTCGCCTCACCCTGGAAGGAGAACGCCATTCTAAAAGGACTGTTCGCGAAGAAATACGGAGAATCGCTCTCGAAACTGGGCGAGCGAGACGTCCCGTCGATCACGGAAGACGACGAGGGCGAAGATGTGACTGCGGAAAAAGAAACGGGAGTTTACGATAACGACGCTCCTTTTAACGAAGTCAAACGCTACGGCGGGTTTCTCCGCAAATTCGGGCCAAAAAGAAGCAACTTTGTGGATAACACCAGCCCGCAGGTGTTGCAGAAGAGATACGGCGGGTTTATGCGAAGAATTCGCCCGAAGTTGAGGTGGGACAACCAAAAGCGATATGGCGGGTTTTTACGGCGCCATTTTAAAATCTCCGCGCGCTCTGATGAAGAGCCCTCATCGTACGAGGACTAGCTTTATAGATAACCCAACCAGAACTCATTAAGCCAACGCATTTCAGTTTCCACCACAAATTTGACCCTGGAGCACAAAACCAGTCATGGGTATATTTGTAGCAATAACCAAAAGTACACGGTATGGGTCAAAGTTATAGATTTCTCTTTTACGCCAAAAATAATACGGAAATTAAGTAAAGATCATGTTCCATGAAGATATTTTGTACACTCTAAAAAATGCTGGGTTGTTTCAACCCAATGTTGGGTCAAATATGGACTAACCCAACTGTTGGGTTCAACTTCAAGTTTTGATTAGCAATAGCCTATGCATTGCTAAGAACTTAATTTGGACAACTTTAAAGGCGATTTTCTCGATATTTAGAATTTTTTTTTTGCACCCAGATTCCACATTTTCAAATAGCTAGTTGTATCTCGGCCAAATATTCATCATACACTAAAAAATGCTGGGTTAAATATAACCCAGCGCTGGGTGGGTTCAACTTCAAGTTTTGATTAGCAATAGCCTATGCATTGCTAAGAACTTAATTTGGACAACTTTAAAGGCGATTTTCTCGATATTTAGATTTTTTTTTTTGCACCCACAGATTCCACATTTTCAAATAGCTAGTTGTATCTCGGCCAAATATTCATAATACACTAAAAAATGCTGGGTTAAAAAGGGACAAACCCAGCTATTGGGTTGTTTTGAACCCAACCGCTGGGTTTGTCCCTTTTTAACCCAGCATTTTTTAGAGTGTAACAAACCACACATCAATTGAAAGCTTATTTATTCATCTTTCAGATTATGTATAAATCTCAGCTTCGAAAAATTGACCCTTATGATTGGTTTTGTGGTTCAGGGTCTCAAATGTCATGACCTTACACGTGTTGAGGCTGCTTTACTATCCCAAATGGCTGCTGACCTCTGGACGCCATCAAGCACCAGTCAACCTGTCAATCATGCGCTCGGGACGTTTCAGTGACCGACCACTTGTTGTTGTTTCCCATTAACTTTACCCCATGTAAGCAATCAGTACATCCTGCAGATAATGCTTGTTTAAGATGACCAATAAAGGGCAAGAACTTTACCCGCTAAAATTGTTCGATTAATGTTTTGTGTGATTTATTTTTCCAACTTAAAATAGCCATATTCCCGTTCAGGAAATGCTACTATACGATTTACTGCTATTTTACTTACTAAGCTTAAACCCTTTTTTACTCTATTCCAAAAAGATATGGACATGTCCATCTGAAAGTCAAAACTCACGTCGCACAATAATATTTAGGTAAGCCACCTGTTGGTCAAAAAAGAGTTACAAGTTAAATTTAACACTTGAAAAGTATTTTTTCCTGAAGTATTGTGCTGAAGAAATACTTAGCGATATACAAAAAGCACCTCAGACCTCTTCTGTGAAACAGCTAAAACACCTTGTTTTACTATGGTAAGCGTGTTAGAAATATGCAAAACAGTCAACTGTTGAACTACACGGAATCAGTTTTTTCAATGACCGTCTATTCTTAAAATTGGACATTTGATCCTCTAATCTTGGATATGACGTTGTTTAGGAGGTCGATTTGCTGTATTGTACAATTTGTATTTATTTTAAAAGACAAGATTGTCATGGTCCATGTTAATGCATTTTAAATAATCAACTACGTCAAATACAGATTTCACTGTAACAAGTATTTTCAGAAATACTAAGATGAAACATCAATATAGAAGAACATTATTAGAGAAAATGTTATGTGAACAGTATAAATAACGGAGTGAGCATTATACCCCAAAAATATTCTAACTACAAATTATGCACACACTGGTCAACCATGAAATTTAAAGGACAAAATGTGCCTTACATTTCATAAAAACATCCTTAAAGGGACAGTTCACCCAAAAATTTAAATTCTGTCATCATTTACTCCCCCTCAAGTTGTTCAGAATGTATGAATTTCTTTCTTCGGTTGAACACGAAAGAAGATATTTTGAAAAATGTTGGTAACCAAACTGTTGCCGGTAGCCATTGACTTCCATAGTATGAAGAAAAAATACTATGGACGTCAATAGCTACCAACTCTTTGGTTATCAAAATATCTTCTTTCATGTGCCACATGAGAAAAAACTCACACAGGTTTGGAACAACTTGAGGGGGAGTAAATGATGATTAATTTTTGGGTGAACTATCGCTTTAAACAATTCAGGCTATATTTTACCACATTGTAATTAGACTACAATTAAATCAAATGCAATGCAATGCAAAAAAAAGACATTATCACACCATGGCTGTTCTTGCAAAAAAAGTTGCAAATTAACTATAAAAAAGCAAAAAAGTTCATCCTCTATATACAAATATAGAGGATATAACATTTACACTGACATCAAAAACAACTGAACACGGTTTCAGGAGAATTTCACTCCTTCTGGTCGTCTTTCTGTTCTGTAGTCGCCTGCGGCCCGACGGTCTCCACAGTGGCAGTGTTTACGCTACTGACGGCGCTGACGGGTACAGCAACTACAGTGCCGCCCACGGCGCCCCCTACAGGCGCTGCCAGATTCTGCACCGTAGCTCCAGCTCCCACTGTGGGCAGCGTGACCAGCTGAAACGGACTGACCATTTTGACGATAGTGGGTGCTGTAGACCCCTGCGGAACCGCGGCGGTGCTCAACACGGTTAAATTAGAGCCATCAGACTGGAGTTCGGTGCCTCCGGGTGACGTCAGCACCGTGTATCCACCGATCAGGGGTGACTGGGTCGGAACAGACAGCACTTTGTCCAGCGGGAAGCCTGCGAGCTGCGTGATGGGCAGGGTGAAGTGCATGTGCTGGGCGGGTGTGGAGGCCACGGTGGCGGGACCCGAGACGGCACGGGTCAGACGGGGGCGCTTGGCAGTGGGAGGCGAGGTCACGGGGGTCATGGTCATCAGGACGTTGTTGAGGTGCTGCGATTTGCTCTTCAGTTCTTTGGCGCGTTTGCGATGGTCGTCACACTGTTGCTCTAGGGCTATAAATGCACAAAGTTAAAGCTCACTTCACTTTCCTGTTCAAAAACACAATATGCACAAAAAGTCTGTGGCTGGATGAGGAGATAATCCCAAAAACAGGTACAGACCCACTAAACTGCGTGTGTACTGCTCCCTACAGCGGTCCATCTGGCTTTTGTGACTGGCAAGAACTTTCTTCACCAGGTCCAACATCCCAAAGTTCTGGACTATATTGTTGAGCAGAGCAGCATCTGTTGACAGATTCAAGTATATGAACAATATCAAATCAGTCTGACGTTTAATAAAATATTTGTGTACATTTGCAGCAAATTAAATCAGAAATAAAAACGAAAAAAAAAGATATAGAATATATTTACACAAATGTCTTGCTTGAATTACATCAAAATTAAAATACTATTAATCAATATATATATATATATATATATATATATATTTATTTATTTATGTAAAATATATTCATATATAAACTTTTATAATTATTTATATAATATTAATTACTTAAAATATTTCACATACATATATAAAATCTCTCTCTCTCTCTCTCTCTCTCTCTCTCTCTCTCTTTCTCTCTCTCTCTCTTCTGTTAAAAGCTGTTCAATCATTAAGCAGTGTCTCCTGTAGGCTTTTTTTTCTTGTATTTTATGTGGTGATCATAATATGCTCCGGGCATATTTTTTGCCCTGACGTGATGAATGTTGCAAAGTGAAAGTAAAAGTTTCATGCAAGTTCGTTGCATACTAACAGGAAAGAGTTCCGTGTCTCTATTTAAAATCAGCACTTCTTTTATAAAGAACACCGCATTCTCGATCTATAGTTGATTTTGATTCTATAATAAGCAGACACATGCACTCTTTGTATGTTTAAAAATGCTACACTGCTAACATTTGTCATAAACATCCTTTATTGCTATAAACATACCTATAATAATAGCTGCATACAAAACACATACAGAAAATATATCGTCATAATCATATGTCTATTTGCTTTCATATTTCATGATTTTTTTTTAATACGGAAGATCTAGAGAGTGAACGCGCTCCGACTCATAACACTCGCGCACGTGGAAGAAAACGGACGGTGCTCTACAGATCACATGATTCAGTGGAGAATTATTAGAAATGATATTCTGTATAAAGAACACGTGAGAATAAATCTCTTCTTGTTTGCACTGGTTTTCGAAACAGCGTCACCACTCTTGCCTTTTTGTGCAACAGCAGCTGCTCTGGTCACGTGATCCTAGCTCAAATCTTATTGGATGCTTTGCGAAGCTGAAAAGATTAGTCGGACTGGTTGCAAAATAAACATTCGCACTTTCAGTGCGTGAATGTTCGCGGCCTATGTGGAAGCATCCATAGAAATCTATTGTTTTATTCCAGCACGTCATCGCGTCCGATATTCGTTTCGCTTTTTCGTGCTCAGTGTGGAAAGGCCTCAACTCTGACCTTTAACCTGAAGCGGCGGGTCTTGGATTCGCTCCTCCAGGCCCTTGAGAATCTCCTGGATCTCTCTCTGCAGGTCCTCCATCACCTCCTCCAGCAGCCCAGCATCCTTCAGTCCTCTCCAGAATGTCATGGTGTCCTCTGATATGGAGCAGAATGGCCGGTGACAGCGTTAAACCCATTCACTACACAGACTAACTATAATACATCACGTAAGTCTCTCACCTCCGATAGCCGTCACCCATTCTGTGCTGTCGTCACCAGCATCTGCCGAAATCGAAGCTGAGGATCCATTCACTGAAACATATATACAAATGATTAATCACTGCTCAAACCATTCAGTGGAACTATTATGACAAAACATTCTGAAGTGCAACAAAAAAATGTGTCCATATACATATGTGACCCTGGACCCCAAAACCAGTCATAAGGGTCAATTTCTCGAAATTGAGACTTATACATCATCTGAAAGCTGAATAAATAAGATTTCCACTGATGTATGGTTTGTTAGGATAGGACAATATTTGGCCGAGATACAACTATTTGGAATCTGAGAAAAAAAAAAATCTAAATATTGAGAAAATTGTCTTTAAAGTTGTCCAAATGAAGTTCTTAGCAATACATATTACTAATCAAAAATTAAGTTTTGATATATTTACGGTAGGAAATGTACAAAATATCTTCATGGAACATTATCTTTACTTAAATGAGCATTTTTGACGATCGTTTCGGTCCAGTCTGCTCGTTTTATCGTGTTTAACCACAGCTGTCGCTGTTTTTTTTGTCTGGCAGTGGTAGCAGATATGCAATCAAATTTCTAATTTGAGAGAAGTGTGCGCTGCAAACGCAAGCATTTGTAACGATTGTTTCTGTCCAGTCTGCTCGTTTTATCGTGTTTAACCACAGCTGTCGCTGTTTTTTTGTCTGGCAGTGGTAGCAGGTATGCAATCAAATTTCTAATTTGAGGCTGTATTACGTTGATTCTGGCACCCAACATCACAACAAGATGATATTTTAAGCTCCTTATGTAGCAGAATCTGCGCTGGTTTGAATGGGCCGCCTCCAGTTTCCTCTTTGTTTTGCTGCCTCCAGCTAGCGCTGTGATGTCGGCTGACCCTAGTTACCTGTGGTTGGCCTGGCCGTGCGTCACTCAGAAAACAACAGGCCAATCAGAAGAGAGGCTCATGAATATTAATTAGACAGGCCAAAATCGACCTGTTCTCAGCAGAGCTCCTGAGAAAGGAGCTGTAAAAATATATTGAGATGGTTTTTGGTACTTATACCGCAAATACATATTCTTAAAATGATATTCTTAATAACCCAAAATAAAACTCCAGAAAGGTGTACAATATGGGACCTTTAAGACTGGTTTTGTGGTCCAGGGTCACACATGTGAAAGCCCATGCATAATCTGAACAGATTAATTCTGTGAACTCGTACCGTCCACGGAGGCAGGGGTCGCAGGAGCCGTTTCTGTGGACTGCTGGCTGCTGAAAGACACTCGTGACCCCACCAGGTCAATCTTGGTACTGCGGCAGGTGTTTGACTTTAAGGTTTTGTGGTCCAGGGTCACACATGTGAAAGCCCATGCATAATCTGAACAGATTAATTCTGTGAACTCGTACCGTCCACGGAGGCGGGGGTCGCAGGAGCCGTTTCTGTGGACTGCTGGCTGCTGAAAGACACTCGTGACCCCACCAGGTCAATCTTGGTACTGCGGCAGGTGTTTGAACACAGTCTGGAGTGCTGATAGAAGTCCAGCTCACCTGAATCCATGATCTTCCTGTAGAAACAACCAAACAGTGCATTCATCTTGAAGAAACTACAGTCAACATGATATCCAAATACCACCATTCACTTATCTTATTATGAACAATTCCTCAGTGCTCTATATTCCAAAGGAAAATTACAATGTTTTCATATTTTCACTTTTGCAAATTGCTTTGCATTTATGGAACATAGAAACACTATTGTTTAAATGTTTGGAGACTTCATTTTTTTTTTTTAAGACGACTCTTCTGCTCATTAAGGCTGTATTTATGTGATCAAAAATAGATCAAAAACAGAAAAATGTTAAAATATTATTACAACTCAAAATAACTATTTTCTATGTGAATATATGTTAAAATGTAATTTATTTCTGTGATGAAAAGCTGAATTTTCAGCATCGTTACTGCAGTCTTCAGTGTCACACAGAAATCATTCTAATATGCTGATGTGCAGCTCAAGAAACATTTCTGATTATTAGCAATGTTGAAAACAGTTGTGCTGCTTCACACACACACACACATATATAAAATAGTCTCAAACAGTATTCATCATAATGCACTGCACGAAAAGTAATAATATATGATAATAAATGATAAAGGTCAGAAAATAAGATAAGCACCTTCAGTGTTTTCATTTTTAGTTTGATAAACAATGAAATCTAAAACTATTATAAAACATTTCTAGTTTATATTCTTTTTCTGCCTCAAACCTTAACATGGTCCCATTAAGGCGAATGGCTCTCTTCCAGTCCTTCAGCGTGGACTTTCCCGCTATATAGACAAACTCCTTGGGACTGATGAGATGCTCGTTCAGCTGGAACACAGCAGTGATGAATATGAAGCATTATGACGCCGGAAATGGAAAGCGGTTATATTCATTCAGGAACAGATAAAACTGTCTATGTGGCAAAGACATGCAGACAGTCCATTACTCAGAGCAGCACATATATAGCAAAACAATGCAGTAGCTTCACAATCTTTACTTACAGATCTTTTCTGAAATTATTCATGATGAGTGAACAATTTTCTTAATGTTTATATAGAGATAAGTTTTAGATATGATAGTAAACATTATCATTCACATCTGCTTATTCTTTATTATTACTGTTAACCACATTTTAGAAAAACTGAAAGGTCATCAAAACCATGAAATAACACTAATGAATGTATAATATTATGCAGTGACTACAACAGGCTTAATAAATCAAAACTATCTCATTAAAATATTCTAAGTTTAAAAAAATATATATGATTGCACAATTTTGATGCTGTTTTAGAAATACAGAATCTGTTGTTTTTATGTAAAATGGGCAATCAGTGCTGTTTGCAATAACAATTTTAAGAATAAAAAAAAAAAAATGCAGATTTGCATTTTCATTTTTTGATGCAGCTTGCGGAATCTGTTGTTTTAATGCAAGATGAGTAATCAGCACTGCTGCAAACATAATATCACAATAACCGTAATTTAATAATATAAGCATAATAATAGCATTATTTACTTTTTTAATTTCTAAAGGAAATTAATGCATTAACTAAAAACAGAACATGATAATAAATAGTGATTATCTGAATTGACTTGACGGTCCTAATTTAAGAACAAGCCTTTATCAAAAAGAGAAAAACAAATATATAAATTGAAGTGTGTCTAAACAATGTTGTAGTGTTTTAAAACAGATTATATCACATATTTACCAGTACACATTTGATGTTGATCCCCGGACACACAAACTTCTTCCAGACGAGGTTGGCTTTGCTGTCCCCACAGGTTATTGGGTAGAGAATATCACCCTCTACATCTGCATCTTCAGATATTTTCACTGTGTAAATATGAACATGGCATGTTCAAATAAGAATAACTAAAAACTTCATTATCTCCATTAGCAAAATTATGTTTTGATAAAATGTATGTACTAAAATGTTATACAAGGTTATTATACTATTAACTAAAACCATAATGTAATTACTTAAAATAAAATAAACACGATTTGAAATGAAATAAACTTAATCTTTTAAATTTTATTTCAGCTAGTTGCCAAAGTAACCTTTCTCATTTTCATTTAAAGTTGAAATAATAAAATCATTAAAACTAAATATACTAAAACTTAAATAAACAAGTGATATAGTTTGAAAATAATAACAATGACAAAATTACTAACTTTAACATTAAAATGAAAAGAAAAATGCAATTTTAAATTTTAAAACAAACAATAGTAGTATATCAATAAACTAAAACAAAACTGATGTTATGAAACAATGACCATATGAACAGCTTAATGCTTGAATAGCTCTGCATCCAACCACACACACATATGGAAATTACTGTAGCTTCTGATCACACACACTGCAAAAAGTGATGCTCTTCCTCAGTATCGTGGTCTTATTTTCCAGTCCAAATGTCTAAAGATTCTTAAATCACGATACATTTACTCGAGAAGCAAAATGACAAACTAAGAAGCATTGGTTTCTGAGAAATTGGTCAAAATTAAATGAGTTTTTGATTAAAACAAGAACAGATATCTGCCAATGGGCCAAGAAAAAAACCCAACTTAATTCAAAGGGAAAACACATTTTCATAGCCCACTGGCAGATATTTGTTCTTGTTTCAAACAAACTCATTTAAAGGGGTCACATGACGTTGCTAAAAAAGAACATTATTTTGTGTATTTGGTGTAATGCAATGTGTTTATGCGGTTTAAGGTAAAAAAACCCACATTATTTTCCACATACTGTACATTATTGTTTCTCCTCTATGCCCCGCCTTTCTGAAACACATCGATTTTTTACAAAGCTCATCGGTCTGAAAAGCGAGGTGTGCTCTGATTGGCCAGCGATCCAGTGCGTTGTGATTGGCCGAATACCTCAAGCGTGTGACGGTACCCCTACCATACTGTGATGCCGTGTCCCGGCCGGAGCAACGAGACAAAATCATTAAAACCCATTATAAACGAGGCATTCGTTGCATCCAGTGGGGACATAATTACGGATTATAATGACTTATACTGTCTTTTTACGTGTTGCGTTGCATCGTGCCGTGTAAACATAAAACCATGTCTGCATTTGTGATCGGAGAAATGACAAACAACAAGCGCTACTCTACACTAGTGGTGGGAATCTTTAGTCACCTCACGATCCGATCCGTGAGGTTCATATTTTAAATATATAAGTCCATTGCATTCCAAAGCACATAAATGATGACTTCGTAGAGCATTTGTAAGGAAAATATCGACGAGCGAGACTGCACACTTCAACTGTAACATCAAACAAAGCGCGCATCCTGTGCAGTGAAGCCCGCGAATGTCCTTGTAATTCGCTTCTTCAACCTTTCCGAACTTTATGAAAGATTATTTTACGGAAGGTTCGAGTGGTGTATGTGTGTGAGGAATTGGAAGCAAGCAGAATGCGGGTGTTTCTAAAGCAAACTCAGCGTCATCGCGCATCTGGTTAAAAACTGAGCTCGGAATCGATTCTGCAATTCTCAGAATCGTTGGAGAATCGCGATGCATCGATGGTTTGATTTTTTTCTCCCACCCCTACTCTACACTGCTCAAAACTTGCGTTTGAATCGTCAGTGCCAAATTCTTTAAATATGAAAACATACTTACAGGCTGTGACTGTGAGTCAGCATTATTTGTCAGCATCCTAAACTGTACAGGGTCAGCATGCGCGCCGAACGGGAAACGGCACATTTGGGCGGCGTTATGCAAATCTTCCCACATAGTGATGTAGACATGTGGGGGCGTGTCTAAACGAGGCGTTTTAGGAGGCCGTGGACGAGTCTTAACTTTTATAAAGAATATCTCTTTGGGTTTGCGACTTTAGTCTTTGGCAACTTTAGGGAGCGTATCTATTCACAAACAGCTTGTAACACTCCAAAGAGAAAGGAAAACTTGAAATCGCATCATATGACCCCTTTAATTTTGTTCAGTCTCTCAGAAAACAAAACTTCTTATGTACGATTTCCATCTCAAGTCAATGTATTTTGACTCAACACTGGAAGAACGTTTTGGTGTGTGTGTGTGTGTGTTTTTGCAGTTTATGCAACATTTAATGACATGACTTCTTGAATCGAAGTCTTTGTGCTCCAGGTTAACACCTTTTTAGTTAAGACCCACATAAAGTAGTAAAATCACGGTAATAACCCTATTTGAGTGGATTATTGCTCTGTTAGTGTCTTTAATCTGCGAAACGCAATTCCTACCCAACACGGTGTCCTTGGGCAGGGAGATGGTAGCACTAGACTCAGCCTCGGACTCCATAGTTTGCTCCATAATGTTTTCCCTGTGCAGGAAAAGACAAAAGCCGCTGTGAGTCTGGAAGAGGTGCATGATGGGAGCTGAAGATGGAGTCCCAAAAGAGCTAAACGCTCACCCAGACTGTTCCAGATCCGTGGCCACCAGTATATTCTTCTCCTCCTCGGCCGATGACGTCTGACCCGCTGTGTCGGGGGTCGTGACCACCACCACCTCCTCCATGTGGACGTTCACCTCAGAGGATGATGCCATGAGGTCATCGGCACCTGACAGCTGTCAATCAGCATCTGATGGGTGCGGACAGGAAGTTATCACTGCTGTTAAGTTTATTCAGATCTATTCTGACAAATAAGAGTACTGCATTGGTACCGCAGTTATGAAACAATGACCATATGAACAGCTTAATGCTTGAATAGCTCTGCATCCAACCACACACATATGGAAAATACTGTAGCTTCTGATCACACACACTGCAAAAAGTGATGGTCTTCCTCAGTATCGTGGTCTTGTTTTCCAGTCCAAATGTCTAAAGATTCTTAAATCACGATACATTTACTCGAGAAGCAAAATGGCCAACTAAGAAGCATTGGTTTCTGAGAAATTGGTCCAAATTAAATGAGTTTTTGATTAAAACAAGAACAGATATCTGCCAATGTGCAAAAACATAGCAACTTTAAAGAGAAAACAGGTGTGCATACCCCTCTGGAAGATATTTGTATTGGTGCCACGCTAAAATTATGAATCAGATGGCTTTACCTCATATTTTTTATATTATATGATGGCTTATATATTATATTACATGATTTTTATAATATATATCATGGTACTAAACGTTAACTGCAGTCATAAGCCTTTGTATTCAACAGACCTCTATAAATACTATGGTAAATGTCCAATAGCATTACACATTGCGTTAGTAAAATCAGTAATTGCATTCATTAATAATGATTAATTATAGTAAACATGTTCGCAGTCTTCAACTCACAGATCTGTGTTTTGAGGTCTATCGCTGGATGTTTGCGCTTTGCCCCAAATTGACGGAATTAAATACAAAAAAGGAGCGGTAGATATGTGCGTACTTGGGGGAAAAAAAAAATCACAATTGAAATAACACGCAGAAAAACGGAGTATAAATCGAATCTTTACCCGCAAGCGTTTGAATCCGTGTTTAGGAAGCGCTGTGCAGACAGACTCTACCGCGCATGCGCCGGCGCCGTGACGTCACGGGCGCGTCAAACAAGAGAAGTCGAAGTGAGTAGATGCATGAAAGATAGTGATAAAATTGCCGGACTAAATAACCTTTTTTTTTATTTTTAGTTCATATCTCTATTTTATTTTACAGCTATTAAACTTTAATTCATTGTCCAGCGCTGAAGAAGCACAGGTACTTTTCTTTCTACAGGTAGATTTCAATGTCGCATAATAAAGGATTTGGGCTTTCTGAGCCTCCTTGTGGAGAGTTCACAACAAGCTGGTTTCATAGTTAACAGTAAGTAGCTAGCCTACACAAAGTATACGAAGGAATAAAACTCACATCAAAAAAGTTGGACTGAATTCTAACTTACATATTAGTCTAACTGTTTTAATGCATTCAGCATTTATTTATTTTACTCTTCACTTTTCTCATATACATTTATGCGGTTTACTGATGCTTTTATCCAAAGCACCTTACACTGCATTCAACACACACACACACACACACAGAAGCAGACAGACAGACAGACACGCACACACACAGAGACAGACAGACAGACACGCACACACACAGAGGCAGACAGACAGACACGCACACACACAGAGGCAGACAGACAGACACGCACACACACACGCACACACACACACACACACACACACACACACACACACACACAGGCAGACAGACAGACACGCACACGCACACACACACACACACACAGAGGCAGACAGCCAGACACACACAGACACGTACACATGCACACACACACACACACACACAGAGGCAGACAGACAGACACACACACGCACACACACACACACACACAGAGGCAGACAGCCAGACACACACACAGACAGCCAGCCAGACACACACACACACACACACAGAGGCAGACAGACAGACACACACACACACACACACACACACACACACACACACACACACACACACACACACACACAGACATACACACACACACAGACACACAG